TGCGTTTTTGATTGCTCTTTGGTCAAAAGTGTGCTGCGTCTCTATTCTGTCTCTTCTTCTCCTTTTTTTATTCGTGCGTTTGGCCGAAAGGTATGGTGCTCTATGTCTTCATCTGTTTTGTGTGTGCCTCTGCTTGCTTGCTTCATTTGACTTTTCATCCTTGGTTTCTCCTTCTACTCTTCACCCGTGGCTTGATCTACGTGATTGGCATTTTTTTCTCTGCTTTGCTACTATGTGTCTTCTAGGTTTCGTCTGCTCTCCCTCTCATATGCTCTCTTTCTATCTGTGTGTGTACTCGTACGAGGAAAAGAGACTAGGGCTGGGTAAAACGCTGTAGAGATTGATGTTTCACTCACCCTATGTATTTTATTATTAATTTTTTATCTAAAGATTTTTTTAAAAGTTAATTTTTAGAAATTAGTTAGGAAGAAAAATTTGATTTTGAATGCACTAAGAATATCCTCTCTCTCTATTTTTTTTTTAACCCTTACTAATTTGATTGCTATTTTCTCTAAATTGTTGAGATAATGAGAGAGATTTTTCAAAATTTAAGCAAGATATATTTTTTTATTTTAAAAATTGATTCAAAAGATCAATTAAATTTATTTATCTTACTTATTTATTTATTATTATTATTTTAAAATATAATCCTAAAAAGGATTAAATTTCATTTTTTTTGTATTTTTATATTTTTTTAGTTATTTTAATAAACTAAAAGAAATAAAATCTTAATCAATCAAAGATTATTTAGGTTAAAATAAAATTAAGCTCTATTAATTAAAAAATTTTTTATTTTAAAAATATAATCTTAAAAAGGATTAAATTTTATTTTTATATTTTTATATTTTTTAGTTAAATTTATTATTATTTTTATTAAATTAAAAAATACTCAGACAAAATACAGTATTCACAAATATATTATCCTAAACAAAATAGTCAATAAAAATAGTAAAATAAAGAACATAATTATAAATAAAATGTTTAAAATTAAATATCCTTAATTTAGTAAATCCAATTTCATGAGTTCCATTTTCAAAATTAAAACTAATTACACAAATTTATATTAAAATTAATAATTAAAGTATTTTTTAATAATTTTTTAATTACATACTTATATGTGTATGTAAAAGAAAATGATTTGTGACAATTTAAAGTATAAAAAGTCAAAACAAGGCCCATATGTTTAAAATTAAAAAATAAGTGATTTATAAATTAGATATTTAGAAATTTTATAAAAAGATATTTATTTTGTAGAGATTTTACAAAAAACAAACAAATATTTGGTTACAATAATAAAAAAGCTATCACTAATTAGTTATTTTTAAATTTTACGATATCTTTCTTGATTTTTATTTTATAAAAATAATTTATTATTATATTATTTTTAAATTTTATGATAAAACACACTCTTTCATCTACAGCCTTAATTTAATTTGACAAACTACTCAAAATAACTTCTAAAAATAATTAGAAATCTATATTTTTTGGATTCTGATTATTTTTAAAAATTTAAATAAACATCATACAAACTCACAAAGTAACTTTTTAAAAAATAAGTATTTTTTTATAAAATAAGCTATAACTAAATGGCAAAGCTAATTTTGGGGGTACAGTGGTTATTTTTATTATTTTTTTCATGGATGGATAATTAAGAGCCTAAAATAAAACCCATTTAGAAATTTTGATAGTGAAGGCTGAATAAGATATTATATTAAGTAGTGGCAAGAGAAGGATGGAAGAAAAAATAGGTGAAATTCACCCATCATCCTACAATAGCTAGACTACTCATGATAATACATCGAGTTTGAGATTCTACTTATACTTGTTACATTTTTTTTTATTATTTCTTAGAGTTTGTCATCAAATCAATATGGAAAGAGGAGGAGCAAGTATAATCATAAATACATATCCCCTTCATTCAAAAATATAAGACATTTTTGATAAGTTAGATGTTACAAAATGTAAAGTATTTTCAATTTTTCGAGATGTAATTATTACCTTTTTTTTTCAAAAGTGCTTATATTGATGAATGACTTTATATTTATTATAGGGTATTTAAGGGGGGTAAATATGAAAAGATAAAATTAGTTTAAAAGTAAATAACTACTTTATTAGGGTAAGATTCAATTAAAAATGCCTTACATTTTTTAACAGAGTGAGTACATTTTTATTAATCAAAACATGATTTTGACAATTATTCCAACCATATATACTATATGAATTAAATAATATTATTTACATTATATGTTTAAATAATGTTCTTTATATTAGCTAATAAGACAATATATTAATTTAGTGATATTTTTTGTTAGTTGATAATTTAATTTAATTAATAAATATTGGAATTTGAAATTCAAATGTTGAAATGAGATAAGTCATGTGTGCAGGAAAAAAAAAAGTGGTTAACGATGCAAAAAATTCTCAAAGACATGCAATCTTTGAAAAAATGATTTTTCAGAATTAATCCTACCTTTTGAAAGCGTTTGAAATTTTTAAAATACTAAAACTTCAACAGAATAAGTTAATAATATTGATCAATATATTTAGCCAATGCAAAATGTCAAAATAAGGTAATTAATAATAAAAAAGATTTAGGTTTAAATTTTGGGTTTTAAGCTTGATCAGTTAAAGTTCGAATGTAATGAGATTCATAGTATTAATTCAAATTTTCCTCATACATCGATATTATACCGATTATAAATAAATGATATTGATTACTATTTCATTCAACACTTTTAACTTTGGTTAATTCCCATAATATCCATGAGTCTATTTTATTTTGTGCTCCTTGATTAGTTCCTATACTCTTTTACTTTCATTCATCTTTCTTTTAATAAAACTTTGATTATATCAGGAATGTGATGCTTCACATGTATTGTCTGAGGTTAGCAGTACAGGTGGTGACATTCTTTTAGAGTTTAATAGCTCAAAAACATGATCAAGGCTAATGGTGAAGATGCTGATGGTAGTGATTTTTCCACAAATGAAAAAAATGCGTGTGATCTCACACAATTGACAACTAAATTGAGATGAAGAATTTGGTTGGATGGTAGTGATGATAAGCTTATATTGAACATAGTGAAATGTGATAAGACAAAGAATTGAACAAGCATGATGTGAGGTTTTGTTTATGTTGGGTTTCAATAAATTGTCTTCTTAAATTAATTTGAGATCAATGTATTTTATTGACTAATTTTGTTTTTGTTTTTAGTTATGATCATAGTTGATTTATTTGTAGTTCAATTTTGTTGGTAACTTGCATTACTATAATGCTAGTTATTTTGTATTATGTAAATATAGTCGGTCTTCTTTGTAAATCCTATTTATTTTGCATCCTTTTTATGATACTAAATTTATGTAATGAGATTCAGAGCGTTTTCCCACAATGTCTAGTTCAAATGGAAGAATACATACAACATATTAAAACTTATATTTGGACGCCTTTTATGTGAATTTTTCCTTTAAAAAAGTAGTCAAGGCAATTTACAATGGTCTTTCATTTTGTGTTGTTGTAGGTTCCAAATAGGGTCAATTAGTGGTTATGCCTACATTATTCATTTTTTGGTTTGATTAGATCAAAAGGATCAAAATTGTATTGGTAACTTGTGATGACAATTTTGTAAGTGTTAATGCTATGCCTAAAATAATGGAGGATGAAAGTATATTAAGAATATGTGTTGTTGTACTAATCAAAATGCACGGGCTAAAAATAAATCAGATAATCAAGATCACATATTGATCTATTATAATGAATAGCAAATGAGGAATTAGCTGATGTGATTATGTTGGTTGATTAGATTATTATACATTTATATGGTAAGGGTGTCCTTGGGAAAAATAAGAACCAATAATTGTATTTATCTAGCATTTTGACTTAAAGAAATTAAAAGTACAATATCATACATTTTTTGCATATTCTCTTCCTTGGGTAGACAAACATGTTCTCATTACACTCCATGCATGGTTATGAAGGAGTTACTTTAGCTCCTCTCTAATGTTCTCAAAGCTTTCTTTAGTTAAAATCTATGTTAGTATTTGCCTAGCTTCTTCCATCTTGCCTATATCTAAAACACACTCTCTATTTGTCAAGATCATCATAAAGTAAGTTTATTTTGCACATTCATTTTCTTTCTTTTCTGCAAGGTTAAGAGGTATAGACCAAATAAAGATAAGTCTCACCCTTTTACTTAAACTATAATTCCCTCTCTAAATAAGCTCCCAAGATTCTCCTCGAGATAGCATCTATGTAGAAATGATGTTTCAAACTAAAGGAGTAAGTTTAACCTTTTTCAGTGGTGCATTGTGGAAAAAGGTTGCCAACTCCCCTAATCATAGCTCTCTTTAGTTATTCTTGAAGAATGATGATGTGCATAGGAAAAGAAATATTACTAGATACCATGATATATAGTATTGTTATGTCATTTGATTCATCATAAGTTATGTGTCCATATGATTCCAATTACTGTGAGAAGGAGGCAATTTCCCATATTAACTTTTATAATGACTATTAATAAGAGCAAAGGTTAGAATCTATCATGCTGGTTTGATTTACATCTACGTTATCCTATTTTTATTTATGGCCAATAATATGTTGTTGTTTCTTGTGTTGAAGTAGGGAGGGTTTAAAAATATTAATTCTTAATTAATATGGTCAATCCATATATATAACTTCTAATATGTCATTTATAAGGAGATCTTTATAACTTGATCTAAAAAATTATGACTTTTTTAATCAGTTTTCTATTATATCCATTTACATAATATATTTTTATTTTTTATCATTTACCTTTTTTTAATATACATATTTACTATTAATGATGATAATCATATAGCCTTACTACATATAGAATAATATGGAGAAGGTATCTTCCATAAGTTGTTATTTTAGAAAAGATTTTTTATGGCATTGAGACTTATTTAAAATTATTATTATTATTATAGAAACCCGTGCATCGCACGGATATTTGACTATTTCTATCAGTTGAAAAACTAAAGTTGAATCACTCTCTCCCTCTCTCCCCTTCTCTTTCTTTCTCACGCCATTAAAATCTCTGAGGGAAGATCTGAGACAGAGACAAACCACATGATGGAAGAGAGGCTGTTAAGACCGAACCAGAGAGTGCAGAAAACAGAAAGAAACGACGAGACTGATGAAGATCTTAATAATACTAAAACGACGAGCCTCATCACATGGAGAGCTTTCAAGCAAGAAGTGAAGATCATCGGTTATATCGCCGGACCTATGATTCCTGTTGTTTCTTCTCAATTTATTTTGCAGGTAGTTTCGATCATGATGGTTGGTCACTTGGGTGAGCTTTCTCTCTCTAGCTCAACCTTGGGTCTCTCTCTCTCCAGCGTCACTGGTTTCAGCTTTCTTGTAAGCTTCTCATTAACCTCTTCTCTTCTCTTTTTAGTGTGTTAAATTTCAAGCTATTTAATTACTATTACTAATTAGTAATTCTTGTCAAATTATATCTGATATCAAATATTGTGGAGTAATTCTGAATTGAATCCAGTTGACAGCATGATTGGGAGGAAGTTTTACCTTTTTGTTTAATTAAGGACTGTTGAGTTTCATACCAGTTAACCTAACCATGGTTGGCTAAGATTTATTTTATTGCTTGATTTGTTTTGATTTCTCTTCATTTACTTAATCCTCCATTGCACATTAATTTTAATCATCATTAGATTAAATATATATATATATATATATTATTAATATTATTATTTTAATTTTTTAACTTTACACAAGATTTTATTTTAATATTTTAATTTTTTAAAATGTATTTTAACTCTAAAACCTTTAGTTTCATTACAAACATTTTTACAATAAACTTTTAAGTATTTACAATACATTCTCAAATATGATCTCATTAAGTTTAATTTTTTTACTGATTGATACAAAAAATAATTATTTGAAACTAATGGTGTTAAAGTTAAATAACTAAAAATAAACTTTATAAAATTAATGGATCAAATTTAAAACTTATATAAAGTTGGAAGATTAAAAATACACTTTAGTCTATATTTTTTTTAATACTTTGCAGTAAAATTTTAAACAATCTATTTAGATCAAGTTTTACTGTTTGAGTAGTTTAAATTTATTTATTTTTTATAATTTTATATTTTAATAATAAATTTTGAATGGTAAAAGATTTAACTCCACATATGTATAGATGTTTTCCATTGGTTTGTTTTGCTCCTTGAGTGGTTTGGGAATGTGGCCCATGACTATTAAACTTTTATCTCATCATTTTCATCACACTCTTATAAAAACTTATTGTTCAAATTTCTCATGAAAAAGGATATATATGGCTTCATGTGAGTCAAGAATAATTAATTTAATCTCTATAAAATTAGTTATAAATTTTGAAAGTTAACTAGAATTTAAGGCAAGAACTGAAAATTCTGGCCTAAAAAGGCCGAGAACTGAAGAGACCAAATTAATAATGAAACTTAAAAAACCTAAGAATGTAATAAAAAATTCAGAATTTTATACTTTTTATGACCGTAGCTACTCCACCTCAGAATGATATGTATAGGAATGCACTAAGAAAATAAGTTATGATATTTTTGGAGCACACTTAATTTTTAATTACATGTATCATTTGGGATTATTTGTATTGCCCATTGTTTTCAACGCAAACAATTTGATAATATAATTAGATTAGAAAAAGAAAAGAAAAAGTAAAAGTAGAGAGCTACGTTAAAAGCAAGCAAGTTGCATTTTAAGTTAACTTTTATAAATGAGGAGCTTGTTCAATTGTTGTGTTTGTTATATCAGAAAAGTTGTTGCGCTTGTTAATTAATTAATGGGATATAGAGTGCTAATAATTAACATATAACTTCACCAACTTTAGATAGATGCTTTGACTTCTTATTATTTAAATTTTTCATTCATAGATGAGACTTTTTAATCAAAAGCAGTTTTTGAGCTCGTAATTGATTGATAAATATGTTAAATTCTTTATATTAAGTATTTTTGAAAATAATATTCTTTATCAAGATAATTAAATCAAACACATTTTAAATTTTATATATTTCTAATATATTTTTGAAGTATTAGATATGAGATTCCTTATATATATTTATATATATTGAATCTATTTTCTTTTTTATTAGATATAATTTTTTATTTTTAATATTTCCTCCAGTATTTTTTCTTTTCTTGTCTAGACTTATACTTTTATTTATTCTTTAAGACTTCAAATCTTGATATCCATAATTTTTTTCTCTTACTAATTATTTTAAATCTCTTTCTTTAACGTTCTTTTGCTGTTTTTTTTAATATTTAGTCATTTAACTTTACATAATATTTTATTTTAATCCTTTAACTTTTTAAAGTCTCTTTTTTTTCCTTTAACCCTAACATTGTTAGTTGTATCCTAACAAATTTTTATATTAAAATTTCAAAAAATTATTAAATATTAACATATTAAGTTTAATTTTTTCAAAATAACAATGATTGATATTAGTAAAAAAAAATAATTGATACAAAAAATAATTATTTGAAAGTAATAGTCTTAGGGTTAAATGATTAAAAAGATACTTTATAAAATTAAAAGATTAAATTAAAATTTTATATAAAATTAGATGATTAAAAGTATAATTTAACTTTTTTTCCTATTTTCTATTGTTTTTTTGGCTTTTTGAATGTTTTTCCTTTATTTTTTTCTTGTGTCTCTATATTGAATAGTTCTTGATATCATGTTAAATTATTTATATTAAGTATGTTTGAAAAAAGTTTACTCACCAAAATAATTTAACCTTTTGATTGAACATATCCCAAACTTTATATATTTTCTAATTATTAGATTCTAATAAATTATTTGTTTAATTGTGCATATCATTTTATCACCACGATACAATTTGTTTGATGGGAAACTAGGGTGCATGAAATAAAATCTATCTAATTTAAATTTATTTGATTCAATTTGATTAAATTAAAATAAACTAATTGACTGATTAATTAGATTTTTTTTCCAAGAGAATTAATTAGATTAGGTAGATGCATGTTTTTTGACTAAAATGAAATATGTTTGAATTTTGGAGGTCTGAATTTCGTTAGCTTCATTCTTGAATGATAACATATATTCTTAAAAAAACAACTAACTAATAAAATATTGTATTTTATCAATAAAAAATATTTTCCTCTTTAAGGTTAGGGTTAGATAATCTTAATAGAAACGTAGCTGATTTGAATAAAAGATTTGATCGATTATTTTATGTTCTGTCTTTATTCGACCTTGGACCGCAAGCATGCTTGCATACGAAGCTAACAAGAAAAACGTTCCTCCAATTTTAACCATAAAATAAATTTCAGGTCGCTATCTCTATTTGTTGTCATACTTGAGATGTCGAAACACTATAAACTCTTAAAATCAATTATTTACAACCTTAAAATAAATAGGACAAAATTAGTAAAATTACATCTCATTAATTTTAAGATCTTTTTTGTAGGTGCTATGTCTTATGAAAGCAGGCCCTTTTGAGTTGGTACTGCACTTTTAATTTGCATGAGAAATAAGCTATATATTAGCATAAAAAGATTATGGTATTTACTTGAACTCTCTTTATTAACAATTGTCTAGAGTTTTGGTTTAATGACACTTCACACCTTTTTTTTTTAAAGAAAAAAAATATTGAGGTTGTGGATTCTATATCTTGTACAGTGAAAGGGTACGGCAGGTGACTAACTTGCGCGCGCGCGCGCGCAAGTGTGACCCTTTCTCATAGGTATGTAAGCTTATGGTTGTTTGTATTTGATTCATAAAAAAAAAAACAATTCGATTAAAGGATAATTTTGCCGTCAAATTATGGTTTATGAGTGTTTAGGATGCTAAATTTGTTTTAGTCCAATGTTCCACTATAACCATTGAAAATAGTATAATGTTACTCCGATTATTAATGAGGGTTAACTTTAACCTTTAGCTGAGTAAAAAATTATAAAAGGATCTAAATAATTACAGAAAAACCCAAAAAATTACAAGTGAGTACTTTATAAAAAAATTAATATTAGTTAAGTCTTTTAAATTACAAGTAAATTTTGAGAGATTAATATAGTTTTTACAATGCAAATAACAAAAGTATTATTTCAACTAACCATTTTGACTGGTACAGGGTGATCATTGGATTAACATGGCTAGCAAAAATACCCATAAGTTAAGATCTTATTTGTTTTAATAAAATATAATTAAAATATTAATACTTTAATATATAATAATTTAAATATTATTATTTACAATCTTTGCTTACAATTTACAAGTCTAATTCTAAAATTTATAAATTCTTCAAAATTTACAACTTAGCTAATGTATATAAAAGTAAATTTATTTTTTTACACTAGCTATAATTTTTTTAAGGAGAACTTGTAAATGTTGTATGGAGATTTACAATTTATCACACTATTTTAGTTTACAACTCTACTAGGGTAAAAGGCACATTCATATATAAATTTTCAAAAGAAAATATATAAATGTTGGAGTAATATTTATAAATAATAATAATAACATTTTATATTAAAGTATTACTATTTTAATAAGATATTATTTTAATTACTTATCAATGTTGTTGTCAATAATGATGATTCAATAATCACCTTGTAACTTGTCAAAATGATATTTGAGTCTTTTACATGTGAAAAAATATTGTCTCTCTATATTTATTTGTAATTTGAGGATTTAATTGGTATTAATTTTCTTGTAGCATGTTTATTTATATTTTCCCTTGGTCATTTTTTAAATTATTTTTTGAGCCTTTTTCCTATGATGTTCAAAATATCTTTTCTACTGAACACCATTAACAATTTAAATTCATGATAAGCAAGACATTAACCCACAAAGAGATTATCAAGTTATAGTCTTCAAAATAAAGGGATGCCAAGTTTTCATAAGTTAAAATGAGTTCAAACCATTCATTAACTCTTAAATCAAAGTAAAATCAAGTTATAGAAGTATGGGATATCTCAGAGTAGTAAAAGAATTTGAAAGCAATTGAAAAATATCAAGTTTGCTTAAAAATAGAGCAATGTGCCATGGCTTGTTGCCCTCTATGTCATGCACCGTGACCTGTTGCCCTGATCTATCCGATACACCTTAAATCTTTGTCTGACATTCGAATGATATGATCTAGGTGTTTATTGAAAGCTCTTTTGATAAACTAATTAATGGCATGGGTTTCACTTTCATAACAATCCACACCAGGAACACCTAAAGCTAAAGCTATTTTTACCACTTTTCATAACTTTTTACAAGCAAAGGGTGTCCAAAATCCAAAACAAGTGCCAAAAGTCATTCTTGACACCCAAACTATATCCATTGAACCTTAGAGTATTAGTACAACACATCACACGCACTTAAATACTAGTATAACAGAAAATCATTCCTCAACCCCTTAATACCAAAACAAAATGGGGAGGAAATTCCATTGCATTGCATTTAAAATAAATTGTATCATGCTTAAGACAACTTTCTGCATTTACACTAGTATTTTTTGACCCTACACACATATAGAACTTATCATGCACAATTGCTTAGGGCCCAAAATACAATTCAAACATATCAATAACTACTTAATGCAAGTATAAACCAAAATGCATCCTAAAATTGGCAATGCAATTCTATTACACAAAGTAACCAATACTTAGAGGCCTAAACTAGGAATGTATGGATTCTTAAACCTCAAGAGCTTTATCCCTCTCAGCACCAAAGCCAGAGCCTATAAAATGTTAAAGAAAAAGGGTGAGCCTAGCCACTTACTAATTAAGGTAAAACCTACCCTATACAATTATATATCAATTGAAATAAAGCTTAGAGTATAAAATATATTTTCTTGAAAACATGTATTTGCACATAATTCCACATATTTCATAACACATCACTTATCAATCATCTCACTTTCATTTAATCACATGGTACATTGCCGCAAGACACTCAGGCATGTGATCATGACCCAATATCAATACAACTTGCCACAATTTAATCATGTGACACATCATGAATTTAGTTAGGCAATGATCAACTAACTTTATATCCTTCTTATTTTCTCCGACTAAAATCGTGGGCTATAACACTAAATAGGGCTCTTTCTGTATGACTGGACTATCCAAGTTCATCAATCGTGAACTGTGATCCAACTAAAGATCACATGGCTCACTCTTCAACCATGGTTTTCCCTACTCTCAAATATTTAGAGTGTCATATACCATAAGCTATTTTCTTTTATAAACTAGTAGAGATAACTAGGTTTTAGTTTCTCAACAAACTATGAGACAATCCTTCAACAAACTGTAGGATAAGGCTATACCCCCATACATCAAAGGGTAGCCCAAATACTATAAAGATTTTTCTCTACTCCTAATCTCTAGATGAACTCCCGCCGGTTGATCATACTATGTACAATGCTCACTCATTTTTCACATTCACATTTATTCATTATCAAATCAACACATTAGGCTCACGATTATGCATTACCTAAGTGAGTATAAAATCTTATTCCACATTATTACATGCATCCATCATTTCCAGCCTAACACATTCATTCTTTACCACATAATCATCATACTTTGCATTCCAGTAAACACATATATTCATGATTTGAAAATTTACTTTGAACTTCAGATTTACATATCAATACAAAATACAAATGTGCATAAACATAATTCATCCAATCCTCAAGGTTGAGGGCATGTTTTCGCATTCAAAAACTAAATCATACATGGAAACAAGCACATTTTACTTTTAAAACATAATAAATAAACAACTATCCAGAATTCCCTTGGTTACCTCAAACTTTTAAGAGGTCAAAAGTTTATCTCTCAATATTCTAGCTTTCAAACTTGATTTCCATAGCTAAAATTGTTCCCAAGAGCTGAATCCACATTCAGCCAAATTAAACTTCATCAACATTGCCCTACTCACACATTAAAACTCTTATCTTTCCCACTTCTACAATACCCAATATCCTTCATTTTTACTTTTAGGCTTATCCATTAGGTTAATTAACTTTCTTTAGTGTCCAATAGAATTAATGAGCCATTAAATTCTCATTTATGGCATCACAAATCCTCCAACGACCATCATTAATGAAATTTTTGGATATTTATGAGGTTAACCAACCAAATATCCCAAAACTTATTATTTCTAGGTTTAAATACTCTAATCTACTCCTATTAATTCTATTTGAGTAAATGAATTTGAACCCATAAACTATATGGACCGAAAATCATCTTTCACTATCAAACCCCAGCCAAAAACTCATAAATGTGGAAGAGAATGGGAGGATTGGGGTTTAAGGTACTTACCTTAAGTGATTAGGAGCTTTAAACTTTCTTTAATCATCCTTTAGATCATGCCCAAGCAAATCAGAAACAAGCTCCTCTATTCTCCCTTTCTTTCTCTTCTATTTTTCACATTAATTCGTGACTTAAGTTCTGTAAAAAATGGTTGTGCCTCACAGTGGACACTACACACACCACGATATATGATACAGAGAGGTTCCCTATTTGTTCAATTGTTATCAGTGTGCCATGGCAGATGTATCACACGTCGTAGCGTGTGGCATAGAAACATTCCTTCCTTGTTTTTTTTCCTTTTCAATGCCTCAATGGCTCACCTTCACACCGAACCATAATTAGAGATGAAACACAACTAAATACTATCATTAAACCCCCTAACCACACACCATTACAAACAACTCAATTATCATCTTAAACTTAATTAATCTGGGGATTAATTTTAGTATGTTATAATTTTTTGATCAACTAACGATTAACATTAACTTTTGTTAACAATATAAACAATATTATACTATATTTAATCATTGAACACATTTTAACTAAAAAAAAAAGGTTTATGGTCCTTATACTCATTAACTTGTAGTTTAAGGGTAAAATTATCATTTAACTCTTAAGAATTAGGTATGTGTAATTTTTGTTCAAATCCCTAAAAACATACGCAAAAATGCGTGCCTGAAAATTTTTGAGGATTAAAAAATAAAATTAGAAGAGTTACACATCACATAAATAAATAATGTTATTATGCTAAGTAAATCAATTGAAAATTTGGATCAAATGGAAAGATTTTGATATCCCTTAAAAGTTCAATGTTTAAATTTTATGGAGAAAATCAAACTATGATAATTATTTAAAAAATAACTTCTAGTTCCTGAACTTCTTCTCAATTATTAATTCAATCCATGAACCTAACTCAAAACAATTATGTCTTTTAGTTTTTTGACTTAATTCAATTCATATAATTTTTGATTCGATATAACTTAGTCCTTATATTTTTTTAAGTCAATAAATTATAAGAACCAAATAGTATTAAATCAAAGTTAAAGGATTAAATTGTTAATTGAAAAAAGTTTATAAACTAGAAGTTTTTATTGTTCAGAATTATTCCCAACTATTGAACTCAATAATGCCTGAATCTTTACTATGGGGTCGTAGAAGGAAGCATGGATACACTAAAAATGGCGCTGTGTCCATGTGGGACACATATCTAACATGGATATGCGTCTCGAATATAGATGCGGCATGTCTTTTTTTTTGTTGATACATTTGGATATGGGCGGATGTAGGTTGACAAGGGTGGATGTGGAACATATATTATATGCAGATTAAAAATAAAATTTATAATATCATATCTTATTTGAATTTATCTTATAAATTTAAATTATAGAATTGATATGATGTCCTCTCATATCATATTAGTTATTAAATTTAATCTATTATATAAAACTAAATTTAAAACTAACATAACATAACATAATATATCAGATATACATATTATATATACACAAACACACAAAAATATATATTTTGAAAAAAAATATATATTATATTATATTATATTATATTATAAACTTTATATTTCATATACATATATATACACAAATATTTATTAGATAAATATTCAAATGCATATATATATATATATATATAATTTTTTCACCCTAGATAAAGCATTATATTTATTGAATTCAGATGTATTTCAAATTTAATGAACTTAGACATTATAACTTGAGTTGGGCTATTCTTGCATGCGACCTTGTAGGCCTATATGAAGTTGGAAGTAGGCCAATAACGCTAGTAGCCCATAAGTCATAAGCGACCTCTAACAAGACATTGCGGTTACTTAATTCATATAGGAATCGATGATCTAATGTAACAATATCATACAACCATGTTACATCCCTTTTATCACGCGATATTTCAGTCAACTGTGAGATATGAAATTATCATTCTCCTTTACTTGACCATTACTTTCTCAATCTTTAAGTGGACTGACTATAACAATGAAAAAAAATTTTCATTGTATTATGCCACACATTTTTTCAATCCTACTCATCGAGAAGCCCAGTAATATCTCTCAATTAATGTGAGGGATAAATTTTATCTTAACCAATCATATTTCTTTGCATGAATATCACTAAACTCAATCATAACCTTTATGATCACCTGATTAAAGGTGACTTTTGAATACATTAAAGTTCATTGGTCATCATGTAGAAATTCATAATGATCTCAAGTCAAAGGGTTTAGTGACATAGTTACATATGAGATAAGCTTATGACTTGTACCATATAGTTTTCTTATAAAGGGTCGGTCCAGTACTTTGAACTCTTTCAAGTGTTGACAACTTTGATTTATATCTCTATAATTAATCAAAGTCATACTAGTATTGTTTCATTTATGATCCCTCATAGATGATCGACTAGGGACATTTAAAACAATCAATGTAGTTTATCCAAGGGTACAATTATTATAGTGAACATGCAATTAATGTGGTAACAAAAGAGAAATTTATTAAATAACAATGTTTACAATATAATAATTGGTCATAAAGCATAATTTTTAACAAATACTTGGTTGACGGCTTGTCAAACCTAAAGAACAACCTCAAGCATGGTAAAATCATATGGGGCTCATAATAATGAATAAACGTTCGTTTGTTAAAAATTAATGGTAAGTGTTTGGTGCTATGATTTAGTTAGTTCATAAATTATTTTGCACCACCTATCCTAGAGAATAGGATGTTATATGCTCATTGAATTTAAGGATAAATTTGGTCTTTAATACTTTTATATACATACATCATATATGCATATCTACTTATATATCATCCCAAAGTTAGATGATTGATTATACTTGTGTGTAATAGATGGGATTGGCAAGTGGACTAGAAACTCTGTGTGGACAAGCTTATGGAGCTCAACAATATCAAAAGCTTGGAACACTAACATACACTGCCATATTCTCTCTCATGCTAGTTTCTCTCCCACTCTCTCTCATTTGGATCTACATGGAAAAGATCCTGGTCTTCATAGGCCAGGATCCTCTAATCTCACATGAAGCAGGCAAGTTCACAATATGGCTTATTCCTTCACTTTTTGGATTTGCAATTCTACAGCCTCTGGTTAGGTATTACCAAATGCAAAGCTTGATTCTTCCAATGCTTTTGAGCTCTTGCTTTTCTCTTGTTCTTCATGTGCCTCTTTGTTGGGTTTTGGTGTTCAAGTCTAAGCTTCACAACCATGGTGCTGCATTGGCCATTAGTATTTCAGTTTGGGAAAATGTGATCATTCTTTGGTTATATATGAGATATTCTTCTTCTTGTGCTAAGACCAGAGCTCCTATATCTATGGAGCTTTTTAAAGCTATTGGGGAGTTCTTTAGGTTTGCTGTCCCTTCTGCAATTATGATATGGTAATTTCATCTTTCTCTTCCTCTTTCTTCAACCATAACTGTGAATTGAATCAAATGTAATGTTGAAACATTTAAGGATACACCGAAAAAAATTTAGACTCTAGGGGCAAAATATATAATGTGTATATTTGGAAAAAGTTTGATTTTCATAGATAGAAAATAGGTTTATCTAGCTAGTAAAGTAGAATCATAAATAACTAAGATTATATATATATATATATATATATAAGGTATATAACAGTCACAGATATATAAAAAGTTGATTGGCACTAAAAGAAATATGGTTAAACATTGAGGGCAATTAATATACATCATATATATGTAGTATTAGGCAAAAATAAGGTTTGTGAGAGGACTTGTGCCTCACTATCATTAATAGGTATGTCCCTATTGATGAAATGAAGATTATTTTAGAGAAATTCTTGCATGTATCTATTATATCATATCATTTATACTCTATTTAATATAAATATGTCATGTTAGATGACTGCAATTATAAATTAATTTTGTCTTTGATGATAATATAGAGAAAAATTAAAGACAAGAAATTAAAAAGACACTATATTCTAAAACCTAAAGTCATTAAAAATAATGACATATAAAATTTTATTTTAATTGAACTTGTGCAATTTGATTGAATAGAGTATAAATGACATGGTGCATCAACTCTATGCAAGAATTTCTATTGATTTTAAATTCAAAGTACCATTTATTTTTTATTTTAATAATATGGTCTATAGTGACTTGATTTGACATTGATGATTTTAGCTTAGAATGGTGGTCATTTGAGCTGATGATCTTGATGTCCGGACTATTACCAAACCCACAACTTGAAACTTCAGTTCTATCTATATGGTACACAACTCTTAAGGTTTTGCACTCATGTCTGATATATTTTCAACTTTTCAAAATCTTGATGTTCTAATGTTGTCTTCTACAGTCTCAACACCATTTCAACACTCTATTGTATTCCCTATGGAATTGGTGCAGCGGCAAGGTAATAAAGACATACAAAAGCAGCACTTATGTGTATATTTAGAAATAGGTTAAGATATAAAAAATTTTCCTAAATTTTGAGATAGATACACAGCCATAATCTTTAAAAGTTTAAAATCAACCTTCCTAACATTTTATTTTATTTTATTACAAACTCTCCTATTTGTTATTTTAATCTTAGTTATTTTACTAATAGAAGTTATCATGTTTTAGTGAAAAATAACACGTAATAGCTTATGTGGCATCATATAAACTAATAGTAAAAGAAAAATATGAATAAAATTTTTATAAAGCTACTATTAGTTTTCATTAGATGCTACATGAATTGTTACATGTCTTTTTTTAAATATACCATGGCAACTTCTATTAATAAGACAAGTCAAAAATAGTAGCAGAGGAGTCTATGACAAAATAAATAAAAGGTTAGGGAGGTTAATTTTAAACTTTTTAAGGTAAAGGGATCTATGCAATTGCCTCAAAATTCAAGAGAATTTTTTATATTATAGTCTTAGAAATATATATTTATATTAATATATCTTTCTGCATATCAACTACTATTTAACCTACATTATTTGTTCATAAATTTATGTGTGTATATAGCACCAGAATTTCAAATGAACTAGGAGCTGGGAATCCAGATGCTGCACGAGTATCTGTAGTGGTTACTATGTCTATTGCAGTGTTGGAGACAACACTTGTAAGCACAACACTTTTTGCGTGTCATCATGTTTATGGTTACACTTTTAGCAATGAGAAGGAGGTTGTTGACTATGTCACTTTCATGGCTCCTCTTCTTTGTCTCTCTGTTATCCTTGACAGCATACAAGGTGTTCTTTCAGGTAGATTTGAATTATCGAGATATATTCATGTAAAATTGTTTTTGGATTGAGGGAATAATGAAAGCATATAAGTAGGCTTAACATAACTTAAAAGAAATAATATTAAATTTAAAGGTCATTAATTATTATTTATATATCTTCTCCTTAGTCCAATTCTATTTAATGTAAAACTTCTTTCCACTCCCAACTCACAACTGACCACAATTACATTGTTAGAAGGATTATATGGCAAATTGGCTTCTAAATAAGTGTTTGGGATTATAACTTATTTTTAATGCAATATTCTCTTTAAATATTTTAAAACGGTGTAATAATATGGGCTTTGCCATTAACAAATGTTATATTTGGCCATTAGTTGATCAAAAAGTTACAAAAAAAGGACCAATAAAATTTTTTTATTGCAAGGACCAATAAAATTTTCTTAATCTTTTCTGTGATTTTTTGGGTCTTTATCTATAATTTTTTATCCTTAATTTTATGTATTTTTTAGGTCATTTTCTATCATTTTTTGGTCAGCTAATGGTCAAAATAAATTTTTGCTAATGGTAGGGATGACATTGTATCATTTTAAAAAATTGAAAGGGACATTACACAAAAAATGAGTTTAAAGACTTAGATGCTTTGGTCGCATAATTTAAGGGCCAATTTGTTATTTAATCCTTATGAAAATAAAACTCTAAACATTAAACTACGGAACAGGCATTGCTAGAGGTTGTGGATTGCAGCATGTAGGGGCTTACATCAACTTAGGAGCATTTTATCTATGTGGGATTCCAATAGCTGCTGCATTGAGTTTTTGGGCAAAATTGGGAGGAAAAGGCCTTTGGATTGGAATTCAATTTGGCTCTTTTGTGCAAACTATTCTACTTTGCATCATAACATGTCGTGTAAATTGGGAGCAACAGGTAATGTAGGAGTATTTTGTTATTAACTTTGCATTTTTAATACTCACTTATTCGAAAAATAGAGTTAAAATGCAAATGATTTAACTTTATCACCATCTCCAATAGGTTTCAAATTGAGTAAAGTTTGAAGGACTTAACTGGTTTTGGTGGTATGTGTGAATGCAGGCCAACAATGCGAGGAGGAGGCTATCTAATGAACAGGTCTTTGCAAATAATGGACTCATATGAGACACGAGTGTATAAATATTAAGGATAATTTTAGCCCATGAGTGACTTGTTAGTGTTATTTTTTGTACACATGAGTGTAAAAAAATTTGTAGAGTTTCCATAAAATAAAAGAAGCAGAACTATAAGAGAGAATGATGAAAAGTAGAATGAATGGATTTAGGCACATTCTCACCTTTTGTATCATTTAAGGTATTTTAAATTTAGAAAATTCAAATACCAAATCTCTCTCTCTCCCTATATATATATATATATATTCATACATGCATGAATGTGTGTGTGTTTTTTTTCTTTAGACTCTTTCTTGAGTTTTTCCTTATTATTGTATCTTTGTACCATTCTCTATAATAGAAAGGAAAATCAATGGTTAATAGTAAATTATTTTTTCTTAAAAACTAAATACTATCATTGTAATGTTAGGATAATGATTGAGTATAATAAATCCATCAAAGTTGTTGTATTAGGTTCTTATTTGCATCACAAGGTGAATCATTGTAATGTTGAATCTTTCCTTGCGGTCTCTTATTCTATAGTTGGAATCATTCAATTACCGTTTTGATCATTTTTGTCAATCCATTTCTCTTTCTATTGGTGGTGGTTCTTCATCCTTCTCAACCTCAACAGTCCTCTTGCCAAGTCAAGTTGGATTTTTTTTTTTGGGTTTGATGGTTCTAAGCTTTTTCATTAAATTTTCAAGGTTGAGCAATTTTTCTATTATTGTGACACCTTTAATGACCATCATTTATTTGTTGCTTTCATTTTGATGGCCCTATTTATCCCTGATTTAAGATGTTTGTAGAACAAGACTTATCAAGTTTGTGGGTGGGTGGGTGTGTAGACCTTGCTAATGCATTCAAGGATCATTATGGTCCTTTTCAATTTGAACGCCTTCATGCCAAGCTTTTTAAACTTGTGTAGCTAGACTCATTCAAGCCATACTACTAGGATTTTATGAATTTGGCTAATCACATTGAGGGTTTGGATGATGCTTCTCTTTTGGATTGCTGATGAAGTGATTCTTGAGCTTATGGGAGAGAACGCAAATACCAACTACTCTTCACAATCTCTCTCTCTCTCCAGACTTTTCATGGTTCATGTGGCAGTTGTACCCTCTGCTTTTATAGGGATCATCAGTGGCACAAAAGTTCATATTCTTGTGGATGAGGGTGCTTTTAATAATTTGACTTATTCATATATTGTGCACCATCTAAAGTTACCTATTGATTCTCCTTTTCTTGTGCAGATTAGTGATCTTTTTGAAAGGAAGGGTGATAGCTTTGTGTGTGATATTTCCCTAGCTACCGTCCAAGGCCACTCTACTCCTTCAAAAGATGATGATTATGTATTGGTAAGAGTGGGATTTGATCTAGTTATTAGGTCAGGGTGGTTAGCCACTCTTTGGTTATCATTTTGCTAATGATAGAACTACTAGACATTGAAATTCCTTGTTAATGTTAATATGTCATGGTACAAGGGTATCACCATACTTCTCCTTAACTAGTGTGGCTACAAAAATTGCATTGCTTGTCTCGTGTCTACCATAAAGTCTATCAAAGATTGTTGGGTTAAAAGGAAAAAATATGCATGAACTTTTTTGTTCAAGAGTTTCTATAATATTTATAAAGTAGGTATAAAAGTACAAAAATTATTAAATTTAATTAGCATCCATTAACATTGACTGTTAAAAGAAATAAAGCAAACACAAGGGGCAAAAATACCCGTAAACTTCTTATCTAAGAGCTTTTGGTATCTTTAAGTCCACAATGATATATGGGTATCTATTAATTTTATAAAAGAGGCCATATAACAAGCTCAACATTAACAACTTGGGAAATTGGGCTTATTCGAGTTAGCCAATTTCAATTTTTCTTAAAAAATTAACATTTTTCAATTTTTATCTAATTTTAATTTTATTTTATTAATAATAAAAATGAATTCGGGTATTCACTATTCAAGTTAAGCCTATTAGAGTTTGGGCTTGGATGAGATTTTTTCAGGCTTATTCAGGCGGCTTTAATAAACTTGAAGTAAAGAAAATTTTCTAAATTACCAGGCTTGATACTAAGATTCTTCAAGCTGATTTAAGTTGGCACATTGAGTTTAGCTCAAATTAATTGATCTAACCTTTCCTAATCTATTAATGTAACTTGATGTTGACCATGAAACTCTAAAAAACAGTTTATTTTATAAAATTAATTGGTACACATGCACGATTATTGACTTTAGGATATTTAAAGTTCCTAAAGAAAAGATTTATGGGTATTTTTATACTTTATATTTACTTCCTCTTTTTTAATAGTCAACATTAATGAACATTAGTCAAATTTAACAATTTGGGACTTTTACACCCATTTCATTAATGTTATAGATATTCTTGCACCGTTTTTCACTTAAGAATATTGGGTGCCTTTAGAAAAAAAAAAATTCATGGATATTTTTATCATTTTTCCCATGATTGTTTTCTTCTTAGTTATATTGTATATTCTGACATGATATTGTTGACTTCTTTTTAATTACCCTCTAATACATTGTCCAATCTAGTTGCTCCATTACACCAATATGAGCAAGTTTTCCAAGTTCCTACTAGTTTTCCACTACCACAATCTCGTGACTATCATATGCCATTGACTGAAGGCACCCCACCTATCAAAGTATATCTCTTCCATCATTCGGTCATGCAAAAGTTTGAAATTGAATGCCAGGTGGTTACAATGCTTTCAAAAGGATTGATTCAACCTAGTTATAGTCCTTTTTCAGCTCTTGTCATCTTTGTACACAACAAGGAAAACACGTGGCAATTTTGCACAGACTATCACACCCTTAATGCTATACTTCCTCGCTCTAAAATATAAATAATTTTTATAAAAAATTTGCATATTAATAAAGTTTTTATTTCTATAAATATATATTTTACCCTTGGTTTCTATTATCAGTATATTTTATGATGAGTGAGAGGTATATTTATATAAAGATGTAAGTTTGTAAATAAAAGGATAAAATGGAAAAAAAAAATTTTTATGTGTATTTAAGTTATTTATATTTTGAATAAAGATTAGCTCATCTAAAGATATAATTACTGAACTATTCAAATATTAAGTTATTTATATTTTGAAGGACGATTCGAGTTTTGATCTTCATGCATAAAGTCGACACTTTGAAGCCCACTGCTAGCCTTCTTTCCACTGTCCACTTACACCATAGGGCCCACGTCATCATGAGGTTTTAAAATAATGGTCTGGTGCTGTACATTTTTGTCACCATGCTTATCTTCTCCATGGTCAACCATCGGCCCCTCTTGGTCCATCACATTCAAAATGGAAAAAGGATTAGGATTAGCATGTGAATTGGACCCAGGCCCACATCAAAATTGAATGCCTAAGTTCTGACGTAATAGTCAGCTTAAATTAATAAAAATTTAAATTTAAATTTAAATATATAAAAATTTATGAAATTCATTTTAAATTATCTTTTTTTTATAATTTTAAATTCTCTTAGCACTACAGTCATTTAAAATTTTATTATTTTAAACATCTCGTTATCTTTGCATTCTCTTATCTTTTGATGGTTCTCTCATCTTTTCTCATTTTTTCATTAAAAAATAAGAACAAATTCATCATATCTAAATTTTCATTTTCATTTTAAATTTTAATTTATCTCTTTTCTTCATTTAAAATTTTTTAAATTACCTTAACAAAAAATTTTAAATATATGAATTTTAAATATGGGATTTAAAATGTAAGATTTAAAATATAAAATTTAAATTCAAATCCATTAATCCAAACACTATTTAAATAAATTTGAAATATTTTCATTAACAAGACAACTAACTGGGAGTTATTATTTAACTAGATTTATTCCCATGTATGGTAAGGGATATTTTAATATATTTAAAAAGTAAAAAAATAAAATATAAGGACTTTAAAAATGATTTAATTTTGTAATAAAAATATTTTAAAATTATTTTTAAAAAAGTAAAAATATTAATTTGTTACCTTCGTTTATATATATATATATATATATATATTCAGAAACCATCATTCGTTCATATTTAAAAAAAGATTAATAACAACATACAATTCAAAATTTATTATCCATTGTATGTTAGAATTATAAGAAACAACTTGTTTCATTTTTATACATATTAAAAATATAAATAATAATGTATTTTATTTCGTAATATTTCACCTCGTTCAATTTAAAATTTGGTCTTAATAATAATGCAAAAAATATTTAATAATTTATTATCTCATGAACATGAAATTAACTAAAGTATACTTTTTAATTTTTTAGCTTTATATAAAGTTTTAATTTGATTTTTTAATTTTATAAAGTATATTTTTAGTTTTTTAATCCAAACACCATTAGTTTCAAATAATTATTTTTTATGTTGATCACTGTTATTTTAAAGATATGTTTTGTCAATATTTAAAAGTGTAAATTTTTTTGTGATAAAACTAATTATTTTAAGTTTAAATAACTAAAAATATACTTTATAAAATTAAGAAAATAAAATAAAATATTGCGTAAACTTAAAATACTAAAATATACTTTAACTTTATAATGTGCTATATCTCAAAATTTATTATCCCATATATCATGTGTAGTTTTAGGAAAAATTTTAGTGAGGAATCCTTGACAAGATATAATAAAAAAGAAGACCTCAAAATTTTTGAAATTTTACTATAAAACTCGTATAGATTTTTGTTTGAATTTGTCATAGAAATGATAAAATTTCTGTCATTTAAATAAACAACATAAATGACTCATTCATTACTATATTGTATGTTATTCATTTATATATGAAATGTTATTCTTCTTCCTATTTTACTTATTTATAATCCTGCTTTCATATGATTTTATTTCAGGGTCATAAACAAGTGAAGTAGAAAAACGAACAACATTCTCTAAATAAAGCAATAACATATAATATAAAAACGAATAAGTCATTTTATTATGAAACCAACACTTGAAATGAAATCAAGTGAAACCAATGCTATAAACAAATGAAGTAAAGAAACAAATAACATTCCGTAAGTAAAAGAATAACATACAATATAAGTATAAACAAGTTGCTTATGTTGTTCATTTAAATGAGGATAGTTTTGTCATTTTTATTACAAATTCAAACAAAAATCTGTATAGGTCCTTTAGTAAAATTCTAGAAATTTAGGAATTTTCTTTTTCATTATCTTTGGTCAAGGATCCCTCACTGAAATTTTTTGTAGTTTTAAGTTATTCAATATGGAAAAAAGTTATAAGGCATTCAAAGAAATTGAAAAAAGATAAAATAAAAAAAAATCTAACATTGCCATACATCATTTATAGTTACAAGTCATCCAATTTGGCCAAAAAAATTCATTAGTCATTCAAAAAATTTTAAAAAAATAAAAATGTAAAATAAAAAGATAGAACAAAAAAATCTAACATAATTCAAAAAATTAAAAAAAGGAAAAAGATAAACTAGAAATATGATTGAAAATATTTTTTTTAATTCTTTTAAAACATGATTTTAAAAATTTATGACTAAAAATAATTTTTTAAAAAATATTTTAAAACAGTAAAAATATTAATTATAATAGCTTTTTGTAACAGACAAACGAAAAACCATAGCAATAAGTATTCTTTAAACTGTCATATACTTGATCCGGACCAGCAAGGCTATAATATAGAGTAAAATGAAAGAGTTAAACTTAATGGACACAAAAATTTAGAATATGTGTACAATGAAATATAAGTTCATTACCGTCGTATATTGACAAAAAAATACATTAGTGCAAGAATGATTTGTGTAGGCTTCCAAACTTTCATATATTAATAATAGATTTGATACGTGAGGTAAACAGATTTGTTGCCTCATGCACATTAAAAATATGAATAGCTTATTTTATTATTACGTAAATTATTTTATAATTTGTTATTACTTGCATTAAATTATATTTTATGAAACTTTATCACGTAAATTATTTTTTATGTGTTAATGTATATATAATACATATGGTAACATATAGTATCAACATCTTTACATAATAATATATGAAATGTATAAAAAATATTAAGTTAAATACATGTGTTTGATTAAGTAATATATATTATATCTCAACTGTTACTAAATTAGTGATGTCATATTTTTAATAGAAATTAGTGATAGACAATCAATCACTCAATTCAAAATTAGGGATAAATTTTATTGGTTAGTAATAGATTTCTTTGTTACTAATTTTAATCTTTTAATATTAGATTTGATACGTGAGGTAAATAGATTTACTGCCTCATGCATATTAAAAATAAAAAGAATAGCTTTTTTTATCATCACAAAATTTTTTATAATTGTTACCCTTTACATTATATTATATTTCATAATATAATATGTTATTTTAGTTTGTATTTTATTCTACAATTAATTTTTTAATATATAAAAACTACAAGCAATAAATGATATGTCAAGTTAAAGGTTATTTTTGTCTCTAAACTATATTCAAAAGATCAATGAAAACTCTAAACTCAACTTAAGATTAATTTTGTCTCTTAACTTATAAATTCTTTGACTACATGCCCTTGGTGTTAACTCTCCCAATTTTACCATTATGTGGTCTCACATTTAA